TACCTCATTGTGGTTTTAATTTGCATTTATCTGATGACTAGTGACATTAAGAATATTCTGTGTGTGTGTTTTTTCACAAAAGTGTCTATTCAGGTCCTCTGCCCATTATTTAATTGAATTCTTTTTGCTTTTTGTTTGATGTTCAGTTGTATGAGTTTCTTATATATTTTGGATAATAACCCCTTATCAGATATGTCATTGGAAAATATTTTCTTCAATTCAGTAGAGTGTCTTTTTATTTTGTTGATTGTTTCCTTTGCTGTGCAAAGACTTTTTAGCTTGATGTAATCGCATTTGCTTATTTTTTTTTCTTTTGTTTCCCTTGTCCAAAGAGATATATCCAAAAAGACTATTACCAAGAGTAATGTCAAAGTGTTCACTGCCCAGGTTTTCTTCTAGGAGTTTTATGGTTTCAGGTCTTATATTTAAGTCATGAATCCATTTTGAGTTTATTCATATATTATATAAGAAAGTGGTTAGTTTTATTTATTTTTTTTGCATGTATCTGTCCATTTTTCCCAATACCATTTATTGAAGAGACTCTCCCTCTTCGTTTATTCTTGCCTCCTTTGTGATAGATTAATTGACCATGTAGTTGTGGGTTTATTTCTGGGCTCCTCATTCTGTTCCATTGATCTATGTGTCTGCTTTTATTTTATCTTTTAAATATATTTTTATTGATTTCAGAGAGGAAGTGAGGGGAAGAGAGCAATATAAACATCAATGAGAGACAATCATTGATAGGCTGCCTCCAGCACACCCCACATTGAGGTTCGAGCCCACAACCCAGGCATGTGCCCTGATCAGGAATCCAACCATGACTTCCTGGTTCATAGGTCAATACTCAACCACTGAGCCATGCTAACTGGGCTATGTGTCTATTTTTATGCCAATATCATGCTGTTTTGTTTACGGTAGCTTTTTAATATAATTTTATATCAGATAATATAATACTGCCTACTTTGTTCCTCTTCCTTAAGATTGCTTTGGCTCTTTGGGGTCTTTCTGGTTCCTTATAAGTTTTAGGATGATTTTTAACTCATCCTTCAACATTTAGTACATTGAGTACCAAAAGAATTTGTATATCTTAATTAACTTTAAGATTGTTGAGAACAAATAATAATTTTATCACATAGAAGACAATTAATTATTACTCCATAGACCAAAAAAAATGGTTAAGCTCAAATTAGCAATTAATAACCTTTAGACTTTATATTACATTTTAATATTTCATGCCTAAGATTTATGATTTCTAAGGCTGTTGAACACATATGTGGATATCTATGTTTTATTGGCTAGATTGTAGGATCTTGAAGATGGGATAGATGTCACTTAACTTTTAATCAACACTAAGCATTCATTTGGCATTCAGTAAATACATATTAAATTGAATAAACCGAGGCTTTCAAGTCACAAATTCCCAATATATTATCTTAATAGATAATACCAATTCTTATCACTTTTGGCAAATTAATCAGTTTTATGTCAATACATTACAATTAGAAGTTGCTGCACAGACTATATTTTTTGTGCCTTTGATTGGAAAATTAGATGAATAGGAATAAAAAATAGAAACAGAAAACAATATCTGGCATGCCAAATTTGAATGTTGTGTTACTCCTATAAATCAAATATTAAGTGGTTTAGGAGATAAAAAGGTAAAAACAAAACAAAACAAAAAACACCTCTAATAATAGTTGTGATTTTTGGGGGGATGGGGGTGGGGAGGTAAGCCTATACAGTATAGAACCCTATAAAACATTAGTAAAAATGTAAATAATTAAAAGAATGTTATAAAAGGCATGATTGCTTAGCTTTATAAGAATACTAATCAACCCATATCATTCATTAGAAATTACATGTAAAATCTATAAAGATTCAATTTTATTGCTGTTTGATTTGAGTAAGTAAGCAGCCTGGTCTTGTATTTAGCAGGGGAAAGACCCTTTCCACTCTCTTTTTCTTCTCTCTTTTATCTTTCAAGGAGTCTCTCTATCTCTCCACACCCCCCATGCCATCTGGGGCCTAAGTTCCAAAGGCCCTTCTTTTGAGCCTGTAACTCATTTTCTGAGCCCATTTCTTCTGTGGCTCACTTTTCCTACCTCTGTGACTTTCTAAATAAACTTTCTATTATGAGTCTTGTCTCAGAATTCTTTCTTAGCCAGAACTCAAGTATCAGGGTTGCTGAACCCAGGTCTAACACCTGGTGCCATTACGTTTCGCTGCCAACATATGGAGTTCCATCCTTTCCCCCATTTAAAAACAGACCCCGCCTACTCAATGAGAGAATGTCATTTACTTATAAAATGTACAATCAAATGTGTTGAGTAAATGTGTTCCAGTAAGGCTGTCTGAGTATGTTATGTCTTTATCGCAAGATGAGGTGTGAAGAATTAATCACTAGACTAGTTTAGGAAAAAGCTGCCTATACTGTGTCTCTATCAGAAAAATCAATCATAAAAAATCCTAGACAAAATTTCAATATGGCATTTTCATTTAGTATATTATACTTTATAATTTCTAGTTAAACTAAATTATTGACTTGTTTACTAGTAGATGCTTCTTGAAAATAAATACATCATGAACAACTCTAGAAACTAAGACAGATATAATTTTTTAAAACAAACTTTGAAACCAACTACATGTAGCTTTAGTCAGTTAAAAACAATTAAATGTTTTAAATTACTAAGAACCTTTTAACTGGCCAAAAAACAAAAAAATATATTCAAACTAGAAGAACTTCCACAAAACATTCCCATAACTATTTTGGTCTCCTTTTAGATTTAGAAATGCCTCCTACAACTTCTGTTTTCAGATATTAAATCCTAGAGTAGGTAGGCATTAAATTAAGTTGTATGGGTATATGATACAAATCCAAGACATTTGTAAGGACAAAATTTATGCCAATAGTGCAATCAGACACTGTTTATTTAGGATGATTGATGACTAATGTCTTTGTTGCCTTCTCTTTGCAGTTAAGTGGTGGTCTCAAGTTTATTTTGATAATAAAGCACTGTTCTGGGAAATGAATTCAAATCTTTAGTTCTCATCTATTTAACCTGTAGGGTTTTGTTAAGTGAAAATTATTATTTGTTCCCTCAATTTCTTTATTCTGTATTTACTATACCTTTTCATTAAAAATGTTCAAATTAGTGAATTAGATACATACTCTATTTCAGTGAAAACTGTAGCTGCCTTTAGTCCAAGTAACTTCATAAAGTTAGAAAATGTTAATGATCAATTCTATGAGTATTGCAAATTATACTTATCTGTATCTATTATACACTGAACAAAACAAAATGTCTAATTTGTGCTTTTAGCTTATCTTCATTCATTCACTGATTTTTTAAAATTATTTTATCCCTGAATATCAGGCACATTTACTTTAGTCTTTATACAAAGGATGCACATTTCAATTAATATTGGTGTCATCAGTGTAGATGATGTATCCTAAGGAGTTTTATAATTAAAATTACAAAAGAATAATAAATATTTACACAGGGCATACAAACATATTGAACTCATTATAATCAATATTCCTATCTAATAAAAGAGTAATATGCAAATTGACCATACCCCTGGTATGCCCACAAGTCACGCCCACCAGCCAATCAGGAATGATTATGCAAATTAACCCAACTAAGATGGCTGCAGTCACAGAGTGAGCAGGAGACTTAGTTTTCCCTAGAAATGGAGGAAGCCAAGCTTTTGGCCTGCCTTGGCCTGCCTTGGCCTTTGCTTAAGGCTACAAAGTTTCAATTATAGAAGATAAATAAATCCCAGATACCAGGGCCTCCACTTGGCTTGCTGGGGGGGGGGGGGGGGGGGGTGGCGCGCGTGACCAGCCTGCAAACCACCACAGGCCCCTCACTCAGGCTGCTCCATGCCCCAAGAGAATCCCCACTTTGATCGAGGACACCCTTCAGGGCAAACCAGCCAGCTCCCAATCGTGCACCAGGCAACTATCCTATCTAATCCTTCCATCTAATAAAAGAATAATATGCAAATTTACCATCACTCCAACACACAAGATGGCTGCCCCCATGTTGTCAAAGATGACTGACCCCATGTGGACACAAGATGGCCACCACAAGATGGCCAGCAGGGGAGGGCAGTTGGGAGGGACCAGGCCTGCAAGGGAGAGCAGTTGGGGGTGATCAAGCCTGCAGGGGAGGACAATTAAGGGTAACTAGGCTGGCAGAGGAGGAAAGTTGGGGGTGACTGGGCCTACTGGGAAAGGCAGTTGGGGGGACTTGGGCCTGCAGGGGAGGGCAGTTAGGGGCAAATAGGCTGACAGGGGAGCAGTCAGGCATTAATCAGGCTGGCAGGGGAGTGGTTAGGAGGTGATAAGGCTGGCAGGCAGAAGAAGTTAGGGACAATCAGGAAGTTAGGCAGGTGAGTAGTTGTGAGCCAGCAGTCCTGGATTTTGAGAGGGATGTCCGACTGCCCATGGTAGGATCAGGCCAAAATAGGCAGTCTGACATCCCTGGAAGGGTCCCAGATTGGAGAGGGTGCAGGCTGGGCTGAGGGACACACACCCCCGTACACAAATTTCATGCACTGAGCCTCCAATCTATATATATAAAAAACCCAGCAACTATTATGGCAGAACACTGGAACAAAGGTTGGTTATGACATGCACTGCGGCAGCCAACCAACCTGATCTGGCCCCTCCCCCTGGCTGGCTCTGCCCCAATATGCCTCCCCACCTGCTGGTGTTGGACACAGGGAGCAGGTGACCGAGCTGTGGCACCCCTTCTGAGGGGAGACATCCACCAGGTATACAAAAGGTATACAGAAGGCGCTCAACAAGAAGTCTGAGGAGTCCACACGGGTTGTGCTCACACCTTTATGCTGTGTCACCCCCCCACCCCCCACCCCCGCCACCACCACCACCACCACCACCACAATGCCAAAGGAAGCCTGATACAGAAACCCCAGTGCTGACCACCCACACGGAGAAACAGCCTGCCATGAAATGAACATCATGTCCAGCAGACCCCTGAATCCACCTCAAGAAGACCTACAGACCCCGAGCGGGAAGATGGGGACCAAGACAGAAGGTCTGGGAAAAGCAGGGCCGCAAATGGCCGTGTCTTGCATTTGCTGCCCACCCTGCTCCCCGGCCCCTCCGTGTGCAAAGCACCTGCATCGCCGCCTTCGGACTGAGGCCTGTGAGTGAGTGAAGAACTGCGGCTGTGCCTGTGGCTGCCCTCAGCCTCCTGCTCTCAAGGATAAGCAGGAAACATATTTACGTGCCAGAATCTAAAACCCTCTTTATCGGTAATAACGCAAATAATGCACGACCCACATGTGTCTCTAAACAGGACTCTGTCCGGCTGCATGCGAATCTAGATTGAAGGCATGCTCTCCGCTGAGGAGGTTGCAAAGGCTGCTCTTCTCTCCAACGCATGCAACCTGGAGAGGTTTAAAGGGAAAAGGAGGTAAAACTAAAACAAAACAGCAACAAACTCTGAGGCTGCTGCTGATGCCATCAAATCCTCCCCGTGGTGGTCAGGTCAGAGCCCATCTCCCCGAGCCTGGGGCTCAGACGGCCAAGCTGCTGACACCTGCCAGGTTGCTTGGCCCCGGCCTCATCTATACGGCCACTTTCAACCTCCCACCAGCTCCTGGAGGCAGGTGGGCTTGCGGATGGAGGCTTCAGTCTTTAAGCGACCTGTTGGTGTAGCACAGACACGTGTGGGTTTTTTGATGAGAGAGAACCCATAGCATCGCTTTATGGGTGTGTTTTTTACTGAGATCACGCTCCCAGCCTTGGCAATTCTCAAATAGGCCTCAGTGATTCCACTCACCCAATACAAAGACTGGCCCAGGTTTCATGGAGATGGGACCCTGGGCCCCAGAGCAGCCAGGTCCTTTCAAAAGGACCTTGCTCTTTATCACTTTGAATATTTCTTGCCACGCCCTTCTCTACCTAATAAAGGTCATTCAGAATTGAAGGCCAGATAAAGAGTTTCACAGACAAGAAAAAGCTAAAGGAGTTCATTACCACCATGGCCGTTGGGGCCAGCCAACTGCCCACGGCCCCTCCCCTCTACCCTGGCTCCATCACCCCATTATGGTGGCTGGCTGGACCCCACCCATGCACAGATTTGTGAACCAAGCTTCTAGTTATATCATAAGTATGTCACTTAGAATGAAAACTCTTTTGTTTCCACATCATTGATTGTCATTTTTGTTGAACTATTTTTTTTGGAAATTTAAGATATGGCTATCTGATGAATTAATTCTTCTTACAATAAGCTATTCCTTAGGTGGTGGAGTAATTATAATAGAGAGGATATTGGCCCAAGTGAATTTCTAAGTTTTGTTAACAATATTTATTAGACTCTTACTTTGTAATAAAACATTATAGCAGATATTGTATGGAAATGCTCCAAAAAGGAAGGTAAGGTTTGGGATTCCTGCCCATGGAGCTTTCTAGCACATATTAGAGAACCAGATATATATCAGGAAGGCTCAGAAGGTCATTGTTATTAATCAGAGTTATGTAAGTATCATAAAATGCCAAATGGCAGCATGATCACTGTCATGTGGGGTTGATGATAGAAAACAGTTCCAGAGAAAATTACTTTTAAGCCAGGTTTCGAAGTAATTAATAGCTATTTAATTTAAAGGAGAGGAACTAAATAAACTAATCGGAAGGGAATTCTATGTGCAAGACACTATGCTCAGAATTTGATTGGTATGCAAAAAACTCAAACATTCTGCTTGGACTCATGATCTCTCCATCTAGTGATGGAGACATGAAAGCAGAAAACAATGTCATGTGCCAAGCCTAAGGAGTAGACACATACACATGAAATGTTCAGAGACTGGAAAGACTTGTTTTTTCCTGGTTCAGTGAATAGGGCATCGGCCTGCGGACTCAAGGGTCCCAGGTTCGATTCCAGTCAAGGGCATGTACCTTGGTTGCTGGCACATCCCCAGTGGGGGGTGTACAAGAGGCAGCTGATTGATGATTCTGTCTCATTGATGTTTCTGGCTCTCTGTCCCTCTCTCTTCCTCTCTGTAAGAAATCAATAAAAATATATAAATTTAAAAAAAATAAAGGTTTCATATAGAAGAATAAAATTAATTTGTTACTAAAAAAAAAAAAAAAAAACTAGGAGTGGGTTATCAGTTGGCAGAAGATCATGAGGCATGAATCAGCTAGAAACAGTTGCAGTCCTTAGAGCTTTGAATCAGAAACTCCAAAACATCAATGCCCCTGGTTTTCTCTTTCTTTCTCCTAGTATGAAACTCTGGAATTCATAATCACAACACTCTTCAGCAACAGGTGTTGTGACTGAATATCAGATAACAGGCTAAAAGAAAGAGAAGACCAAAGAAGTGACTATGCCATTTTCCCTTTGCCTTTTGAGGAGCTTTATTTGGAACATTCATCTTATGGCTTTCAGTTATATCTTCTTGCATACTATGTCCCTAACTACGAGGGAGGCTGCTCTTTCACTAGTCCTATTACTACTCCCAACAAATCAATTATGTAGCAAAGAAAAATGAGAATGAATATGGAATGGACATCCAGTAGTCTTTACCAGAGTAGGATTGAGAGGGTCTTGTTTAGAAACCACTGGATATGAGCAGGAAATTGCTGAAGAAACATTATGAAACAATAATTGGCAGAAATTATGTTGATTGTATGTGAAATGAGTTTTTAAATATTGTATGCAAGATTAATTTTAGAATATTGAATTGAAGAGCTAAGATATCTTTACCCTGGCTGGTATTGCTCATTTGGTTGGAGCATCATCAATACACCAAAAGGTAGCAGGTTTGATACCTGGTCTGGGCCTCTCTCTCTCTCTCTCTCTCTTTCTTAATTTCTCTTTCTCTCTCTCTCTCAAATCAATAAATAAATTTATAATAATTTTTAAAAGAGCTATCTTCAATTCAAATAGTAGTAGATAAGCCCTGAATATGGTCAACCCAAGATTACCTGAGGAAATAATCCTCAACATTTGTTAATGAAAAATATAAGAGAAGCAAAGTAGTGTGTGTGTGTGTGTGTGTGTGTGTGTGTGTGTGTGTAGAAAGAGATAATTGGATAAAGAAGATGTGGTACATATATATATACATACAATGGAATACCACTCAACCATAAGAAAAGATAAAGTATGCCGTTACTGTATCAACAACATAGAAGGATCTTGAGAATATTATGATAAGTGAAATAAGTCGGGCAGAAAAATTTCAGAAACATATGATACCATTCACCTGTGGGAAATAAAACTGAAAGTAACAAATGAACAAATAAGAAAAATAAACAAACAAAACTCATAGACACGGTCAACAGTGTGGTATTTACTTGAGGGAAGGGGGAGGTGAGAGTAATAAAGAGTAAAGGGGGTCAAATGTATGGTAACGAAAGAATATTTCACTTTTGGTGGTAGGCACAAATGCAGACTGACTACAGATGATGCTTCATAGAATTGTACACTTACAACCCATATAATGTTATTAAACAATATCACCCCAATAAAGTTAATGAACAATAAAAAGTTTTGTAAGCTGTAAAAAAAAAAAAAAAAAAAAAAAAAAAAAAAAGAGTATGCCACTTATATACTTTAAAAAGTTGAATAGCTTTTTACTGCAATTATAATTAAACCCTCAGATTCAGTATCAGGGTCTACTCTCATAGTCATATATAAGCTGACCCCTTAGTACTGTCCACTCACTCTCTCCACAGTGACACATATTTTACTGTAGTACATTAAGATCATTCCTAGTAGTGTGTTTGCACTTACTATTTTGCTCCTTCAGCACTTCCCTCTTGGTGATTACATCCACAAAGCTGACTCCTTATCTTTCAGGTCTCAGAGGTTTATAGAGTCCAGCTTATCAAAAGTGATCTCCTTTTCTCCAGGCACCATTCTGGTTTTATTCTTTTCATTGTAACTTTTTCCATCTAAAATATGCATCTTATTATTTATTGTCTGTTCAGTAGAAAGAACATAAGCTCCATAAGACTCACACATTATCATGTGAATTATTGTTCCCCTGCCCTTAGAACAGCTCTTGCTTCAAAATAAGCACTCAATAAATACTTGTGAAATGAATACGCTATTGGAATGACTATTGGACTTTGAGCACAGCATTATATTTGAAATAAGGCAACTTTGGGGATTAATGGATGAGGAGGAATATAATACCCTCTTGCAGTGGAAAAAGTAATGCTGTAGTATGAAAACAAAAAATTAGTTATAGCCCTAGCCAGTTTGGCTCAGTGGACAGAGCCTACAGACTGAATGGTCCCAGGTTCGATTCTCCTCGAAGGCACATATCTCGGTTGGTTGCAAGCTCCTCCCTGGCCCAGGCCCTGGTCAGGGAGAGTGCAGGAGGCAACCGATTGATGTATTTCTCTCACATCAATATTTCTGTCTGTCTTTCCCTCATTCTTCTACTCTCTCTAAAAATCATTGGGAAAATATCCTTGGGTGAAGATTTAAAGAAAAAAAAAGTAGTTATAGGCTGTTCTGGGGCATTCTATAGTACACAACACACAGAGGAACAGGACTATTCAGGTTTGGAATTCTAAAAACAATAAACCAATCAGGGACTGTAGGGTGTAGTGAAGTGATGGACTATAAAACCAAATTCACTCAAGACAATCCCATTTTATATCTGCTATCTCAACTTAATTGTTAACAATGTCCCCTTTCACTCTCAAAATTGTTCATTGGGCTGAAAAATTTTTACAAAATCAACCTAATTCTAGGATGCTTATGAGCTGTCCATGGAGTTCCTATACAAGCCAGTGGAGAATACATGGAGATGCCCTAGTAGTTTTGTACCATGTTACTTGCTCCTCTGAAATGCAGAACAACAAGGAATGTTTTCCAAAGACCTGAGTCTCAAAGGGATTGACATGGACTTTTCCACCAGCTGCTTCACTGACTCTGCAGTAAGTAATCATCCAGAGAGCTCAGCCTGAGCTCCTGTGGAAGTATTTGGCATAAAGGAATTAACACTGCTACTTCTGATGTAAGAACAGCAAGTACTTCACTGAGTCATCAAGTCAAACCAAAGATGGAAGGAGTCCCAGAATGCCAGCTGGTCTAGGTTCCTGCTTTAGGAAACTAAATATGAGAGCTTGATCTGGTCTCCAAGGGCATTTCTTCAACATACAGGTAAAATGGCCCATGTGGAGGTTATGTGACATGACAAACCGCATAACTGTATGGCATCTCTTCCACTAGATTTATAGATATAGTTCTAATGATTTTTCCTTTTCTTTTTAATTTAAAATCTTTATTGTTTAAAAAGTATTACATAATATCCTTTTTTCCCATTTGACCATTCCCCAACCTCCCCCATCCCTCACCCATCACATGTCCTCAACACCCCACTTCTGTCTGCATCTATTGGTTATGCTCATATGCATGCATACAAGTCCTTTGGTTGATCTCAGAGTGCCTCACCCCCCACTTTCTCTCATAGGTTGGACAGTCTGTTCAATGCTCCTATGACTCTGGTTCTGTTTTTGTTCATCAGTTTATGTTGTTCATTATATTCCACAAATGAGTGAGATCATGTGATATTTCTTTTTCTCTGACTGGCTTATTTCACTTAGCATAATGCTCTCCATCCATGCTGCTGCAAATGGTAAGAATTCCTTCTTTTTTCAGCAGCATAGTATTCCATTGTGTAGATGTACCATAGTTTTCTAATCCACTCATCTGCTAATGGGCACTTAGGCTGTTTCCAATTCTTAGCTATTGTAAATTGTGCTGCTATGAATATAGGGTTATATATATATATATATATATATATATATATATATATATATATATGTGTGTGTGTATATCCTTTCTGGTTGGTGTTTCTAGTTTCTTGGGATATATTCCTAGAAGTAGGATTAATGGGTCAAATGGAAGTTCCATTTTTAACTTTTTCAGGGAACTCCATACTATAATATTTCCCACAGTGGCTGCACCAGTCTGCATTCCCACCAGCAGTGCAAGAGGGTTCCTTTTCCTCTATATCCTTGTCAGCACTTGTTGTTTTTTGATTTACTGATGATAGCCATTCTGACAGGTGTGAGATGGTACCTCATGGTTGTTTGAAATTGCATCTCTCAGATGATTAGTGATTTTGAAAATGTTTCCATATGTCTCATGGCTTTCTGTATGTCTTCTTTCAAAAAATGTCTATTTAGGTCTTTTACCCATTTTGTAAAATGGTAAATTTTAAGATAAAAATTCTGTTTATCTTCTTTTTGTCAAGGTATATGAGCTCCCTATAAATTTTGGAGATTAAACCCTAATTGGAGACAACATTGGAAAATATTTTCTCCAATGCAGTGGCATTTTTGTTATTTTGTTGATAGTTTCTTTCGCTATGTGGAAGCTTTTTATTTTGATGTAGTCCCATTTGTTTATTTTCTCCTTAGTTTTCATGGCCCTAAGAGCTGTATTGGCAAAGATATTGCTATGACAAATGTCTGCTCTATTACTGCCTATGGCTTCCTCTAGGATTTTTAAGGTTTCCTATCTTATGTTTAAGTCCTTTATCCATTTTGAGTTTATTTTGTGTATGGTGTAATTTGGTGGTTTAATTTCTTTCTTTCTTTTTTTTTTTTTCATGTATCTGTTCAATGCTCCCAACACCATTTATTGACTCCATTGTATGCTCTTGCCTTTGTCAAATATTAATTGAGCATAATGGCTTGGGTCAATCTCTGGGTTCTCTGGTCTGTTGCATTGGTCTATATGTTTGTTCTTGTGCTAGTACCAGTCAATTTTGGAACAGTGGCTTTGTAGTATACCTTGATATCTGGTATATCTGGTATTGTTATCCCTCCAACTTTATTCTTCTTTCTCAAGATTCAGAGTCTTTTTTTATAATATTCCAGAAGAATTTTTAGAGAGTTTTTTCTAGGCTTTGAAGAATCCCATTTGGTATTTTAAAAGTTATTGCACTGAATCTGTAGATTGTCTTGGGTAGTATGGACATTTTAATTATGTAGGTTCTTCCAATTCATGAACATAGTATATTCTTCCATTTGTTTATGTCTTCCTCTATCTCTTTTTTCAACATCCTATAATTTTCTGAGTATAGGACCTTTACCTCCTTGGTTAAATTTATTCTAGGTATTTTAATTTTTTTGTTACAATGGTAAATGGGATTTTTTTATTTTTTAGTTTCACTTTCTGTGAGTTCACTATTGGTGTATAAAAAAAAAAAGCCATAGATTTCTGGATGTTAATTTTCTATTCTGTTACATTGCCAAATTCACTTATTAGTTCTGGTAGTTCTTTTATGGATTCTTTAGGGTTTTCTATATATAATACCATGTCATCTGAAAAATATGAATAAGGTATATCTTCCTCTGCTTGATAAATAATTTTTAAAAGCTATAGCTAATATATTAATCATAAGAAAAGAGATTATTCCTTCCAAATATGGGCAACAAGATATAATGTTTTCCTACTCAGCATCATACTTGAAGTCCAAGATAATATAATAAAACAAGAAAAGGAGACAAGAGTTATGCACATTGGAAAGGAAAAAATAAACTGTCTTTTTCACATGTAACATCATTGTCTACAAGTTTTCAAAAGAACAATGAAAGCACTACTGGTATTAATAAGAGTTTATAGCAAAGTTGCAGGATACAAAGTTAATATACAAAAGTTAGTTGCTTTTTCTTGTATCAGCAGTGACCAATTGGAATTTAAAATAAAATAAAAAAACACATCATTTTTATCAACACCAAAATACCCCACAGGTCTAAAACTTTTAAAAAGGTGTAAGATCTATATAAGGAACACTACAAAATGCTATTAAAATAAATAAAAGATCTGAATAAATTGAGAAAAATATAAAAGTAATATAATAGAGAGCACAGAAATAGATCCACACAAATATAAACATTATTTGACAAAGAAGAAAAGTCCATTTAGTCAAGAAAGGATGCTATTGTGTGTTCTCTTCATAAGTCATGCACATGCCTAATCACTATGTTGATGTTGTACAGCTGAAACAGATATAATATCAGATGTCAACTATAACTGAATAATTTAAAAATTAAAGATAAAGGATATTGTTTTCCACAAATGATGCTAGAATAATTAGATGATCATATTAAGAAAAAACAATGAATCAGACTCAGACTTCACACCTTTTATAAAAAAATAATTCAAAATGGAGCATAAACTCAAATGTAAATGCAAAATTATAAAACTAAAAGAAAACACAGGAGAAAATATAGGTGACCTTGGATTTGTGATGACTTGTTAGATATAACACTAAGAGCATGAACATGAAGGGAAAAATCTTCTGTTCTGAAAAAGATCCTGCTAATACAATGAAAAGTGAAGCCAAAGTCCTGGCCAGGATTGCTCGGTTGGTTGAGCTTCATCCATTGCACTAAAAGTCACCAGTTTGATTCTTGGTCAGGGCACATACCAGGGCTGCAGGTTTAATGTCTGGTCAGGGAGCGTGCAGGAGGCAACTGATAGATACTTCTTTCTCACCTCTCTCTCTCTCTCTCTCTCTCTCTCTCTCTCTCTCTCTCTCTCTCTCTCTCTCTCTCCTCCCTCTCCAAAATAAATTTAAAAAGTACTTTTTAAAAAGAGAGCAAAGTGAAGTCACAGAGAAAAATTATTTGCAAAACTTAAATCTATAAGTAAAATATTAGAAACATGCTTTAAACTTAACAGTAAGAAAATAAACTACTAAATAAAGCAGACATCTCTCCAGTAAAGACATGAAGAGAATAAATAAGCATATAAAAGATGCTAAACATGTCATTGAGAAATGATAAATTACAACAATTAAATACTACCACACATCTATTAGAATAGCTAAAATCCAAAACTCTGACAAACCAAATGCTGTATCAGAATTCTTATTCATTGCTGGTAAAAGTGCATAATGATACAGTCATTTTGAAAGACAGTTTGGTAGTTTATTACAAAATTAAATTTAGAATTACCATATGACCCAGCAATCATGCTTCTAGATATTTTCACAGATTCAGATTATTTGAAACTTCTATTCAACCCAGCCAACATGGCTCAATAGTTGAGCATAGAACTATGAACCAGGGGGTCAAGTTTGATTTTCCATCAGAGCATATACCTGGGTTGTGGGCTCAAACCTTAATGTGGGATGTGCTGGAGGAAGTTGATCAATGATTCTCTCTCATCACTGATGTTTATATCTCTCTATCCCTCACCCTTCCTCTCTAAAATCAATAAAAATATATTTTTAAAAAACTTATATCCACACAAAAATCAGCATATATAGATATCAAATTTATTCATAAATGCCAAAAATTGGAAGCAACCAATATGTCCTTCAATAGATGAATGAATGAACCATGATCCATTCATTTAACGGAATATTATTCAGCAACGTAAAGAAATCAGCTATCTAGCCATGAAAAGACATGGAGGAAACTTAAATGCATGTTACTAAGTGGGAGAAGCCAATCTGATAAGCCTACATACATGACTCCAACTCTAAAACATTTTGGGAAAGATAAATTGAAGAAAATAAAAAGACCAGTTGTTATCAGAGGTTCAGAGGAGAGCAGGGAGAGATGAATGAATGAAGAACAGAGTAATTTTTAAGGCAGTGAAACTGTTCTATATTAAACTATAATAGTGGATACAAAATATTATGCAGTTTTAAAACCCATAGAGCTGTTTGACACAAAGAGTAAACCCTAATGCAAACTATGAATTTTAGTCCATAATGAAGTATCAATACTGGCACATCAGTTTTAACAAGGGTACCACATTAATGCAAGATGTTAAGAGGAAACTTGGGGTAGTGCTTGACCAGGGATGATGGGGTATGTGGAATTCTATACTTTCTGTGTAACTTTACAGTAAACTTAAATTAAAAAAAAAAAAAGTAGATATGGCCCTGGCTGGATAGCTCAGTTGGTTAGAGCATCACCCTGTTATGCCAAGGTAATGGGTTGAATCCCTGGTCAGGGCACATACAAGAATCAATCAATGAATGCATAAAGAAGTAGGACAACACAACTCTCTCTCTCTCTCTCTCTCTCTCTCTCTCTCTCTCTCTCTCTTTTTCTCTTTCATCAATAAAACTAATTTTTTAAAGTAGATATGGATCTCACTATGTACGTTTCTAAGAATTTCTATGGCAGCTGAGTTAATTAATATAAAAAATAATCCAATTTCAGAATTCGCCAGAAATATGAAGATCTCAGGTGCTTGAACTTGAACAACTCTATGTATATTAATTTAGATAGAGACAGGGATATTGATATATGTAGAGAGACAAAGCAGAAGAGAGAGAGGGGAAGGGGATTACAAAATTCTCTTGAAGAGAATGAAATCATGACATATGAAATATTAAACAGGCCAAGCATAAGACTACCTTGATAATAGCTTTTGTGTATGACCTTGGAATCATTTTTAACTTCTGCAATTCTCATGAGTCACCAAGTCCTGTCAATTCAAACTCAACTTGCCTCTCTTCTGGATTCTCACTGCTACTTTCTGTGGGGAAGCGTGGGACTTGGTTGGAATGTCTGTAAAGAGGATTCTCTGAAAGGCCTGGGGCCTCTGAGGGGACCTTGCCTAAGGCAGCAGCCCCTACCTTGACTTTTCCAAACAAGTCCAATTCCCGGGGTGTTTTACTGGAATCTTTATGTTTAGACCTCAAAGCATCTTTGCTTAAAGGACGCATGTGTTTTCACAAGGATGCTTGCCCTGCTGATAGTATCTAATAGCTAATTTTAGTTCAAACTGTTGATACAATAAAAAGAAGCAGATGAACAGGACTACTTGGTGGTGATAGCCAAGTAGTCCCTTAGCCTCTCTTTCACAGAAACATGTGTCAGTGTAATCATTCATCTGTCATTCAGGGTCTGCCGGTCAGTCCCAGCAATTTTCCTTATTAAATCTCACATAGACTAAAGCCTTTTAGCTCAGTGGTTTAACACCATTGACTCAGTGGTGTGCCTACAAATCAGTATTTTTTAAAGTTCCCAAGGTAACTCTAATGCACATCCAAATTTGAGAAACATTGTTCTAATTCACCTCTGTGCCTCTGGTCTCCATCATCATTAAGCCTTCTTTCACAAGATTTATCTTTCTAGCACACAGATTTTTAATATAATTGTTCTGTTTAAAACACTTTTATTGCTTTAGCTGGCGTGGCTCAGTTGGTTGAATGTAGTCCTTGCATTGAAAGGTTGCTGGTTCAATTCCCAATAGGGGTGCATATGGGTTTCTCTCTCTCTTCCTCTCCCTTCCTCTCTTTCTAAAATCAATAAAAATATCTTTCAAAAAACACTTTTATTTCTTTCCATAGCCAAAAAAATTCCAAACCCATTAGAACTGCACTTAAAGCATTTCAACCCTCTGAACCTAACAAACATTTTCAGTTTAATATTCTCTTACAATCTTGTGCTTAGCCAGACAAGAACACTCACCATTGCTAGAACATGCCAATCTTCCACATGTCTGATCCATGCCAATGATTCTCATACTTTGGTGTGCAGAAGTATAGGAAAGAGATTATTAAAAATTCATATTTCAATTCCATATACTTTATTTTGAGCTAAAATAGTTCAGAGGCACTTCCTTCTACAAAATAACCTCATACTTCATAAAACCTAATTTTCTCTGCATTGCTGAGGTCATGGCAAATAGGAAATTAATAAGGGCGTCCCATATCAGGGAAAAATATCTGTTTGCCAAACCTGGAGTGGAGACAGCAAGTAGCAAGCAAATGAGAACTAACAAGCTTCCATGAAGGTAAACATCAATATTAGCACTGCATCAGGAAAGACGTGAGCAAGCCTCAGGAAGGAGAGCTGAACTCCCAGACTTTCTAGTGGCCTGGAGAGAAGTTTAAGTAGTTTCAGGTTAATAGTCTCCTTGCCATCAGGAGCTAATTTAAAGGAAGGGGACCTGAAACTTGGACTCATATTAAAAAGGGAGTCTAGAAAAAATCTGAAGTGATCTCAGGTTGGTACTACCCTCCTTCATAAGTAAATGCCCTTCAATGCAAGAAAAAATACAGAGTTGGTATTGTGAAGAAACTCAGGCTTCAACAGTAGCTTCTCCTGCTTTAATAGGGGAAGCTGAATACTCACATGTGATAGCTGCATAGAGGTATCCAAGATTCTCACAAATGAGGATCAAACAAACATGAGCACTAATCAAAGATCCCCAAGCATGCAGGAAAATAAGCCATCATGTGTGAATCAGTAGAAACAATAAACAATAGACTTATTCCCAAGGATTTCAGATATTGACATTCTAAAGATAAAAATATAAAATTTCCACAAATGAAATGTTTAAGAAAGTAGAACATACAATCAAAATGTTATCAACTGCTTTTTCATTTAATATTTTTGTCATAATTTTACTACGTCACTAAGCATCCTTTTAAAATGTTACTTTTAATGGCTTTATATGTCCATATCAGAAATTACATAACCATTCTTCTATTGTTGAATATATGGGTTAATTTTATTTTTCTGTATTCTAAGTAGCATTGTATTGAGTTTTGTTTTTGCACATGAATTTCTGTCTGAGTTTCTATTTGTTTAGAAAACTTAGAATTGGGGTAGCTATAGTATTAGTTTTCTTGAAGTGACATAAAATACCACACTAGATGGCTTACCACAGAAATATTATCTCATAGTTGGGGGAGACTTGAAATCAGAGATAATGTGTTGGCAGGGTTGTTTTCTTCTGAGGGCAGAGAGGGAAAGATCTGTCCTAGAATTCTCTCCGTGG